ATCCTTCGAAGACAGAGGTCCTGTGGCTGGGACGGGACGATATGGGATTGGGGGGGCAACTCCCATCTCTTGCGGGGGCGCAATTAGTGCCAGCACCGTCCGTTAAGAGTTTGGGTGTAATCTTCGACACCTCCCTTTCCATGGAGGCGCAGATTGCAGCTATAACAAAGGCAGCCTTTTTCCATCTCCGCCAAGCTAAGCAGTTGGCTCCTTACCTCTCTCGCCCTGACCTAACCACTGTGATCCACGCGACGGTCACCTCCAGACTGGATTCTTGTAACTCGCTCTACGTGGAGCTGCCCTTGAGACTGACCCAGAAGCTCCAGCGGGTGCAGAATGCTGCAGCGAGACTCCTTACGGGGTCTTCGCTGCGAGATCACATTCACCTGGTGCTATACCAGCTGCACTGGCTCCCAGTGGAGTACAGGATCAGGTTTAAGGTGCTGGTTTTAACCTGCTGGGGAGGGCGGGATATAAATAAAATTTATTATTATTATTATTATTATTATTATTATTATTAGTTATTTACACACACACACAGAGAGAGAGAGAGAGACTTTTATTGATAATGTCAATATTTCTTGTAAACTGCTTAAGAAGTTTTATTACAATCAAGTTGTATATAAATTTTATTAAATAAAAGAAAGTAATAATCCACAACGAGGCCATACTTGGAATACAGTTGCCTTAACTCACGAAGGATACTGTAGACCTGGAAAAGGTTACGGAAAGGGCAACCAAAATAATGAAAGAGTTGGAGTAACTATGGTGAAAGGTTACAACATTTGGAGTTTTTAGTTTAGAAAACTAACAGCAAGTAACTGGGGGTTGGGAGACATGGTAGAAGTGTAGATTATACATGTTACCGAAAAAGTGTATAGGAAGAAGTATTTCTCTCTCTCTCTCTCTCTCTCTCTCTCTCTCATGATAGTAGAAGCCAGGAACATAGCAGAATGTTGGAAAGTTTGGGAAAGATAAAAGTTCGTACTTCTTCACACTTGTAGCCATAATGGCTATGCCTACCTCCACTATTGGAGGAAGTCTGCTTTGTTAGGAATCACAAGAGGGGAGAATACTGCTGCTCCCCGTGAGCATCTGGTGAGAAGAGGGTGCTGAATTAAGACAGGCCTTTGACCTGATCCAGAAGGCTCTTCCTATGTTCTTATCTGATGCCTATAGTGATACTTATTTACCTACATACACTAGTACTGAATGTTACATTTGGTGTTCATATCTGGAAAACTGTTAAATGTAAGCTCTAATTCCATAGGAGAACACATTAATCCAAGTAGTATGAGGAAACATGAAAGATTTATAATACACATATAATGTTGGCAATAATGACTTTGCATCCAGAAACATAATTACCTTCAAATTTTAGCAGTTTATGGAAACTGCTATATTTTCTTGCCTACATTACAAATTTCATCCATGTTTACCCTGAGTTTTAAACTTAAGACAGTTTATTATGAGACATACAATTAAAAAAGTGTATTATACCATAATTAGAGCACAAAACTGCTGAAAATACAGAATATGACTGCACTCTTTGTTTTACTCTAATGAATGCCTTGAGAATTCAAGAATTAAATTATGCAACACATATGCATGACATATGAAACAAATTCTACAATTAATAGAAATAAATAACACCACCAGGAATACCTCGATTCTGTATGCATGTGCAAACTGTATAGAATTCTAATGCTACCATCCAGAACACATAATAGCCTAATAAGAACTGCCGTATCCTAATCTTCACACGGCAATAATTTCAAACTGATATTATTATTCTCATTTCCTTGAATAATATCCATACTCCAGGGTCATTTTCCTTCTCATATTCAATATTGTGCATGCTTGTATCAAGATTCCTTTCTTCATATCCTGTCACAGTATCAATCACTGCCTCCTGTCCACTCAATCCACTTTTGATTTATCAGCCGCCGTCTTTCTGGACTCCATAACTCGACCCAAACCATTTTAACAAGACATTGACAAATAGCACTCAGTATCGCATCAACCTGTTCCACTTAGTAAACTAAGAAACACTAACTGTGACATCTCTGCATAAGTATTCTATTCTATTCCCCAGACTGATGTATATTAATGAGGAGATGGTATTTGAAATGCTTCTTCCACATCAGCATCTAATATGATCAAATTAGGAAATGGGATGATTTATTAAATTTTGTAGAGCTGAAATATTTCTTTATATCACTATATCTGTGGTTTCAGAAAGTGAGCTGTTGCTTTCAATTTTTCTGCTGAGGATGTGCCCGCATTTCACAGAGGAATTATTGTCTTTAAAAAGATTGCAAGAAGACGAAATGTTATTAAGCAAATGCTCAGTAAAACAAACTAAATCAGTTTTAAAATTCCTAATTTAATGTAAATCTTGGTTGTTTTGCTGAAATTCAGTTTGTGATCTTATTAAGTCTTATTTGCATTGTACTGTTTTGCTGTAGGACAATTTTGAATCTATAGCATAACTAGGGAGCCTCAATTCTTGACCTGAGGTACAACTAAAATAAAATAAATAAATGTAATATGAACACATCTGTCTTTTGGGTGAAGAAAATCTATGTTACTTGATATGTAAGGTGTGCGGGTTTTTTTAAACAAATGAGGGTTTTGTTTAATTAATTAAGAATTTGCATTTCAGATTGATTCACGTGTCCAACACTTTGAACAGTTAAGTCTTTAATCATTTAAGGCTCTAATTTCTATTAGAAAAATACTAAAACCTGGAAGCAGCACTCAATACAAATATATTATATTGCAAGTATCATGATTTTTATGCTAGGCTCAAAATTCTCAGTTCAAAATATCTGACTATGTGTTATATAAAGCCTTGATATTCTTCTGTTTTCAGTAGTTCTGAGACTCCCTTTTCTCACAGACCCACCAAAGCCCAAACTTGAGTCACTTTCAGAAGAACACTTTCAGAAGAAAATAAAACTTTCAGTTTTATTTTAAATGTCTTTCAGTGGCCTGGGTTAAACTTTAAACTAGGTTTGAGTTTTAGAGAATACTCTTTAGATATTTAAAAATAAAATAAAATAAACAAACCTTATTAATGGAACATACTATATATAAAATAATTTTGTATCTCCCCTCAGAGAAGATTTCTTAATGAGCTCCAAAAGTGCTTTCTATCTATGGACTGACACTCTGAAAACTTATGTATTGTAGAGCTCAATGTACATCTCCTTAAAGGGGAAACACATAAAACTAGCTAAGCTGTACTGTTCAATGGAACTAACTAGCCACACACATAGCCAGAATATAAGAATGGGAAGACAATTTACCAGTGACCTATGTAATAAGGGCACAAAGTAATAAACATAGCAAGAAATGATTTATCGTTAGTATTCTCAACACAGTGAAGATATTTTAAGTCCACTTCCCAGTCTGCAGTGACACAGAAAACCAGTACAGATCCTCAACTACAGATAGGGTTCTGTTCCACATCAACCCAAAAATTGCAGAAATTCATCACTTAACAACATTCATTTTGAAATGCTCTCATTTATTTATTGACTTATTCACCCAATTTATATCCCGCTTTTCAATCTGAACAGACACCTGGAACGCTTTGTGATTCAAACCATTTACAGATCCACAGATCATCACAAATCCACTTACAACCTCATGTGCAGAATTATTGCTTTCCAGTAGAAGGAATTGAGGAGTCATCAAAATCCAGTCACATATTTCAAAGATTAGCTTACAATGGTTTCCCAAGTCTTGCCCTTTTTGCTCGCACATGTGGAAGTTGCTTCCCTATGATAGCAGCAGCTGTGCTGCATGTGTCTATATTGCAACTACATGGGTATGGCCAATTATGTGGCTCTTTCTTAGCCAATCTGCCCCACATACATACCACTGTCATGGTAGATAACACTAAGGAAAAAAGTTGTGTGTATAAGTGAAAAAGTCTCCAGTTGCAACCTTGCTCACAGGTTATTTTATTCATTCTCAATCCATTACCCCACAAGAGCATAAATCTCCCGTCTTCAAGACTGTATGTACTCTTCCTTGATTTTCCATTTCCTTCAGAAAATAAATGTGCTATTTTACTGCCAACAAGGAAATATTTTAAAATATTAGGCTGACAAAAAATTAGTCTTAGTGTGTTGAACTTGCTCTTTCCATCAGGGATAACACATTTGCATCCATCAACTTTCTTGGGCTAAAACAAAATAAACTATTTTCTTCATGTGAAATATAGCTCTAACCTTCTAGTACAATCACCAAAATAGTTTTAAAATGTTTGTTTGTTTTTTTAAATTAAGGTATTTATATACCACCTAATGAAACTACCAAAGTTTCTAAGCAGTTATTTACAAACACTTGTACATACATTTAGTCACACACATTTCTCATGCTTCTTACTTAAAATACTAAACCATCAGCAGCCATAATAGCTATAGGCAGAAGCTATGATTTCTGCAGAACGGCTGGATTTTTTTGTGATTCCGTTTACAGATCCATTAACAGATAACGTTTCAAATACCGATTCTGATTTCCTACATTCCAGTCCACATAGAGAGGACTTATTGCCGGTAACACCTTGTGTGGGTCACCTCCTTCATGCTGAAAGCACAGCTGCAGCTCCATACAGTTCTGTCTGACACACACTCACAAATTCAAATATCTGTATTTAAATTGAGAACTACAAAGTACTACTGAGCAGTTGGTTTAGCACATCTGCTAGTAACATTAGTGTGAGTACCCTGCAAAACAAGTATTTCTTATTGTGTTGACCTGCTATGGCAGTGTATATACCACACACCCTATTAGTCACTTGTAATACTGAACTGCTTTAAGTTTAAACTCCAGGATAGGAAGGTCAAGCTAATTCAACCTTTTGCATTGACGCTACATAACTCTCTAAAGTTAATATAACTATCACTGTAGACAACAAGGCAAGAGGATACAGAGAAAAGTATACATTATCTGGTCAATCTTATTCTCCGAGGGCAAAATGGTCATACCTTCTTGTTCTGCTCTTTGATCTTGATCTCTGAGACCGATATAATTTTCCTCGGTCTCTTGAACGGCTCCGGCTCCGTTTTCTCTTGGATCCATATGAAGAGCTGCTGCTAGATCGATGCCTGTGCCTAAAACAGTAACAGATATTGCCAGAAAGTCCATCAGTGGAGCATAATAAAGTTCACATTTTGCACTTGCACTGCCACTGATCTAGCCTTTCTGCATATATACAGTGAAAACAAAAACTAAAAAATATATATACATGGATAGAAACCTGCTCAGTCTTTAAGATCATCTTCCTAAACCCTTCTCCGGATGCCCCCAGCTTCAAAGGCAATATGGCTGACAGCTGAGAACAAGGCCTTCTCAGTGGCAGCATACCGGATATGGAACTTTCACCCTGGATATGTTTGTTTGGTACCTATTTTGTTAAGTTTTAGGCACTGGATGAAAATAGTTTTCTTTGCCTGTGCTTTAATAGACTACAATGGACTCTCACTGTCATATGGAATTTTAACACTCTTCACTTACTGCTTAATTCAATTCAATTTGGGATATATATCCTCCTATAAATTAAAGAAAATAAATCATAAATAAATATTCATAAGATTTTACTCCAACGCAAGTCTAGGAAATAGTTCTATATATAGCAAAGAGGGGTGCAATTACACAGTTCCTGGCATAAAAGTAGGAAATAAAGATATACTATAAAGGTTTCTGAATACAATTTCAATCTATGTAGTATTAAAACATATTTAGTACTTTTCCTATTTTTGTACGTAATAACTTACTAAGTAAGAAATGTTACTGCAATGCTTATGTTTTGTTATGTCATTGGCACTGTGATGCTACAAATGCCCATGATTTTCAGATTCCATATCCATTTTTGAAGAAAATGTCCTAAACACAGCAAGTTCAAGATCATCACAGCTTTTGGCAAAACAAAAAGTGAAGACTAGACAATAAGGCTGGTTCGCAACAGTGAAAAGTAAATATGTACTCTTGTAAATCCTCCCAACCCAAAATTTTAGATCATCTCATGCATATTTATTGAGATTATACAGCGTTACACCAGCCTCAGTTGATTTCACAAAGTATTTTTCCCCACTAGTACCTATACTACTTAGAGAGGTACTTCCTTTGGGAAATATGAAGTAAATTTAAGTTATCATCAGTTCATAGCATGCATCTCTGTTCTCCCAGGAGGTTTATTCTATATAGAGAGGTGCTTCCCACTGGAGGACGATGCAGAACTGTCAATTGGGGCATGCACAAGTGCTTGCCAATACAATTGTTCTTGTCTTTTAAATCAAAACACATATGCACAATGGCCAAGACTGAATAAAACCACATTAAAAATCACTGCACCAGTATCTGTAGAACAGTGCTTCCCAACAGGAACATAATGCAGCTTCATATAAATACCCAGTGACTGCACATCTTATTGCCCCTTAAAATTATTTCAATACACATCTCTGCAAGGACAGCTCAAAAGCAGCATGGGAAGTTTGATCCAGAAGATAGTATGTAGGACAGCACATCCCTACACAGTCAATAACGCATAAGAGCAAACTGCCATTTTAAGCTACATTATCATACCATGAGACCTGCGGGTATATGGCCGTATATAAATTCTATTGTTGTTGTTGTTGTTGTTTATTATTTATTATTATTATTATTATTTATTATTATTATTATTATTATTATCATCATCATCATCATCAACAACAACATGCCCTATCTTCTCATGCTTAGAAACTTGGTGTGAGTTTTAATCTGCTTTTACTGCTATTTTAACTTTTTGAAAGTCTTAAATTATTAATTCTTATTAGGGAAAATTTTGAAGTTTTGTGTTGTTGTTTTTACAATCCAATAAATGTATAAATTTTATTAAATAAAATAATTTATCACTGAAGCCAGAGATGGGGAACTTGTGCCCTTCAGGTATTGTAGGACTACAACTCTCATCATCTCTGACCACTGGTTATGCTGGTTGGGACTGATGAGAGTAGTAGCCCAACAATATCTGAAGGGTCATGTTCCCCACCCCTATTTAAAGGTACCCTTCTGGCACTCTAACTAAATACTTTTGAATGCATGTCCCCTGCATAAAAAAGGCATAAAAGCACACCTGAGGTTACAGCAAAGGTTAGCCTGTTTAAATCGCCCCACAAACCCTCTCCTTCCCTGTTCTGCTGAGAAAGCTGGAAGTGGCTACAATGACCAGCACTTCTTCCAATCAGGCCAAGCAAATGAGCTCAAGTCCAGACAAGCCAAAGCAGAGCAGAGCAATAGGCAACTCTCAGTGGACTCTTCTGGGTAAAATATCAAGGACCAGGGTCCCCTGAAGTTTTAAGGTAGCTGGCAAAGCTGGCAAAACATTTCGTTCCAGTGGTTCTGGCCCCCTGGGAGAGCTATACAGTCATACCTCAGGTTAAAGCAGCTTCGGGACGAGTATTTTCAGGTTGCGCGCTGCAGCGAACTGGAAGTAACCACTATCTTATTTGGAGTGGCCCTGTTTTGCTTCCAAACTGGCAGAAGCTCAATCACCCAATTTCATTATTTAAAAGAATGATATTCAAGCAATAAGCTAATTGTACATCATCTGACTGGAAGCTTGGTTAATCAACATGGAAGCTGGAGTTAGATTCTGCAAGACATACTTTGCAAACGATATGTCTTATGGCAGGGTGTTCTAAAATGTTCTCAGTGTTACTCTATTTAAAGACATATTTATCTTTATCTGTGAAAAACTGGAATTTATTTACTAAATGAAAAGGGAACAGTTGCTTTTATCAATCACCATAATTTAATTCTTCAAAGATCAAGCAGAATCCAGCATAACCTTGAGATTTTATATTATCTTAACAGCCAGGGGTGTATCCTACACTGAGGTCAAGACAGAGGTGCTAGCCAAATCCTCAAAGCAAATACTTAGATCTTTCTGGATTCAAATAAGCCAGCTGGTTCTCATCCAGCCTCCAGGGTTTCTTCAAGCTTGGTGTTATCTGTCAGATAGTCATATCTGCAGTGTAAGAGAGATATTCATAAAGCTGCGTGTCATCTGCATAATGTTGGCATTGCAGTTGATATTATCCCACTATGTCCCTTTAGGGGATACATGTCAATATTAAAAACAGGACCAGGAAAAACAAATGTGAAGGCATTCTACCTATCAGAACTTTCTGAAGAAAATATTTAACTATCACCTTTGATTAACTATAAAGAAATTAACCAGATTTATTGAATTTATTCTACCGTAAGATCCAGATAAAGTTACAACATTATGTTGTCATCTAAAATTCTGAGCAGGCAATTTTATCTTCTATAAAATAATGTCTGATATCCTAGTCTGGTCATTTCTCCTTGATTTACTTTGCCAACATAGGTGAAAAATGTACTGTCTGGAAACTGGGAGGCAATAGATTGTGTTGGGAAAACCTATAATATTTTACATGGGAGAGAATCTCTAAATTATATTTTTAAAAATATCACCCATCTAGTGCCCATGTGTAGCTTACAACAATTTAAAGTCACAATAAAAGAAAGCTATATTAAAATAACAATGATATAGCAATAAAAAGACATGAAATACATTAAATATTCATTTATAAGCTACAATGGCAGAATCACAGCATCACAAATGACCTGTGAAATAGCTCAGTAGGTAGAGCATAAGACTCTTAATCTCAGGATCCTGGGTTCTAGACTCATGTTGGGTAAAAGCATTGATGACCCTTGTGGTCCCTTCCAATTCTATGAATCCATTCTATGAGTTCTTACTTAGCAGGCAAAAGCTTGTCAGAATAAAAATGTATTTCTTTACCAGCTGATGAAAGACAATCAGAGAGGAGGCTGGCCATGCTTCATGAACAAAGGTAATACTGGTGGAGCCACTAAAGAAACCATCTCTCATTCTCAGCAACTATTATTATTTATTATTTATTTGATTTCTATACCACCCAATACTCAAAGGTCTCAACCCTACGTCACAACCCTACGTGAAACACAGAAAAAGGCCTCTCCTTAATTTTAGGAAGTGGACAGAATGACATGGAAGGAGGCAATTCTTCAGGTATCCTGGGCCTAAGCCCTGAAGTACCGTAAACTGGCAGTGAGCACAGATGTTGCATCATAGTCCCATGGATGTGTGTCCACATCCTTGCTGCTCCTTTCTGGACCCACTGCAGCTAGCTTCCCAAAGACACTTCACAGGGTGGACCCATGCATAGCACATTGCCCAATCACAATGTAACAAGTTGGATGTAAAGCTGTATCCAGGAATATTCAACTGCAAATGTGATTTTTCAATGGGACTACACCCGCATCCAAAACTCATTTAATCCCTACTCCAGATTCTGTCTTCCTCCTGACCAGGAGCATGTCTGTCTTGTCTACATTGTGCCACAGTTTGTCAGCCCTCATTCAGCCCATGACCACCTCTGGGCAACCAGTCAGAACCACAGAAGCTTTCTCACGTACTAGACGAAATAGTGAAAAGGAGCCACTGTCATCCAATAACAATGCACTCCAAACCCTCAGGCACCAGGCTGAGTTAAGGGTAGCATAGGAGAACAAAACTGCTTTAGCCAGCTCATGGAAGACATCAATGGCCAGTACAGTGGTACCTCGGGTTACATACGCTTCAGGTTACAGACTCCGCTAACCCAGAAATAGTACCTCAGGTTAAGAACTTTGCTTCAGGATGAGAACAGAAATTGTGCTCCAGCGGCGCGGTGGCAGCGAGAGGCCCCATTAGCTAAAGTGGTGCTTCAGGTTAAGAACAGTTTCAAGTTAAGAACGGACCTCTGGAACAAATTAAGTACTTAACCCGAGGTACCACTGTAGTCTGATCCTCACACTCATCTCAGAGCTATTTGTGGGTCTAACAGTCAATACAAATTATGGAAAGGCTTTCATTTCTTCTTTTTTCAAAAAGGAACCTACCTGTTTGTTAAGTCTGGCACCAGAGGTCCTTCTCTAAATATCCCTGCTGATCTGTAGGCTTTCTTAATAATAATTACTATTATTTAAATGCCGCCACTTGACTGGGTTGCCCAGAGAGCCATGTTTTAGAACGTTTCCCCCAAAAAAGATTGCCCAGGATTTGTAATTTAATGTTGCTACAATAACTGCTTTTGTTTTGATGTTTTTGATCTGTTTTATGGTTCCCTTTTGTAGGCTATCTTGGAAATCTGGATTAATAAAATTATGCTGTTAAAAAATTAATTTTAAATCAGCTGGTGTTGGTCCACTGTGCTTCATTAAGTCCAGGGTCAACACAGCCGTCTACCAGGAGATTTTGGAGCACTTCAGGCTTCCTTCCGTAGATGAGCTTTATGGGGATGCTGACTTCATTTTCCAGCAGGACTTTGGCACCTGCCTACACTGCCAAAATACCAAAACCTGGTTCAATGCCCATGGGATTACTGGGCTTGATTGGCCAGCAAACTCACCTGACCTGAACCCCATAGAAAATCTATGGGGCATTGCCAAGAGGCAGATGAGAGACATGAGAACGAGCAATGCAGAAGAGCTGAAGGTTGCTATTGAAGCTTCCTGGTCTTCCATAAAACCTCAGAAAGCCACAGGCTGATAGCATCCATGCCACACCGCACTGAGGCAGTAATTGATGCAAAAGGGGCCCAGACCAAGTACTGAGTACATATGCATGCTTCTATTTCTCAGAGGTCCAATATTGCTCTATTTGCAGTCCTTGTTTTGCTGATTTCATTTAATATTCTAATTTTCTGAGACTGTTAATTTGGGGTTTTCATTAGCTGTACGCCATGATCATCAAAATTATAACAAATAAAGGCTTGACATATCTCGCTTTGCATGTCATGAGTCTATCTCATATATTAGTTTCACCTTTTAAGTTGAATTACTGAAATAAATGAACTTTTCCACGATATTCTAATTTTCCGACTTTCACCTGTAGGTGTCTGTCTATATGTTGCCTCCTTGATCAGAAACAGCATGTCTCCAAATATAATTTCTTGGACCACGGCAAAATAGGGCTACCGCATCCATGACTTTGTACTGAACATGCCATAGGCATCCAGTTAGCCATGGCTGAAAACAGAATACTGACTGAACTAGGCCTTTGACAAATCCAACAAGATTCTTCTTATGTTCTTATAATCCAGGTGTTAGAAATTTTCTAACATGTTAGTGGTATTCTGGTAAAATTAGATCCCAAGCTTCTCTTTCATTCCATCTACTGATTTTGGATTTGTTAAAAATGCCACACACACCCCAAAATTGCTAGATATTGGAACAAGTTTCTGTTCATCTAGGAAGGAACGCTTTATCAACATTCTTGAAACTGCCAAGTTGAATGGACAGATTATGTGCAAAGGAAAATAGAATACGTCTATCAATTCTATTTTCTGAGAAATAGAGACTATTGTCTACTGGAAAACACATAATAATTTTATAATTTTGGACTGAGAAACTTTCTTGTAAATATTTGTTTCTCTTCAACTAAAATATAAAAAGAAACATCAAAAGCCATAAGAATGACTGTTAATAATATTACTTTCAGCAAGAAGTAAGCTTTCTTTCATTGCCACTATATTTTTACTTAAATTTCAGTAATGTAGAAGTTTTATTTTTTACCAGTAATATGGTAGTTCCTCAATACCAAATACAAACTTACAAAGTGATTACTATTACACAGATAAGGAAAGATAAAAAGCAGGTAGATGATATTTTATGTCCACAAATTTATACTAACCAGAGAGCAATAAGGGGACTTAATTACTGATCCTCTCCTTCCACATAACCCAGTGGCGCATCCAGATTCAACCCCATAAGCCTGTAATCCAGTTTGTTTGGACACAGCTGAAGGAGTATCCTATGCAAGCCAAATGAGGCAGAGCCAACCTGCATTACCCACTTTGCATTGAAAATCTGGTTGATTGTTAATGTTGCCCCCCAATATATGGAATGCAGCACTGCACCCATGCAATAATCCAAAATTACTTCAGTGCACACTGGATGATGTGCAAGAAATAACCAGCAGCTCTACCTTCCTCTCCACTAGTGCCTCAATCCAAAAAGTATTGCCAGTTGGAGCAGAGCACACGTGCAGTAGCCCTGGATGAACACCAGAGAAAGGGGGGTATTTTGTTTCTATGTGCCTTTGCTGGATCTTTATGCCACAACCTACAGGCAACGACAGATTGGCATGGGGTTACATTCCTGACCCTCACTCCACCCCGTGCATCAGTGGAGCACACATAAGCTCTCCCCACCCACCCCATTCCATCCCCTTTTCAAGCCACTTGTGGCTTGTCGCTATGCGTGCATGCATGGCTGCACATCAATTGGACACACATAAATTGGTCAATCCTGACCAACCTAGCAGTTTGAAAGCACGTCAAGTGCAAGTAGATAAACAGGTGGGAAGGTAAACGGCATTTCCGTGCGCTGCTCTGGTTCGCCAGAAGTGGCATAGTCATGCTGGCCACATGACCCGGAAGCTGTACGCCGGCTCCCTCGGCCACTAAAGCGAGATGAGAGCCGCAACCCCAGAGTCGGCCACGACTGGGCCTAATGGTCAGGGGTCCCTTTACCTTTACCTAAATTGGTCATTGCCTGTATATGCCATTATCTACAGCAGAATGTTGGATCAAGCTGTGAATTATGCCTGCTAAATATTTTAAGCAGCCTTTTCTGCAAACACTTTCAAAGCCCAATACAAATTAATTCATTTACCTCTTTTCATATGAATGTGAACGAAACTGGAGATCTCGAGACCGTGACCTTGACTTCCTTCCTGATTTTTTACGGCTGTAAGTTCTGCTATCAGAAGAACTGCTTGAAGATGACCTCCTACGGTGTTTCTTTTTTCTTTTGCTTCTGCTCTCTTCCTCGGTGTCTGATGAGCGGCGACCCATTTTAACAAGCTGTTTTTTAAAAAAGACAAAATAACTGTAAACATCAGATGAAATCTTAAACATTATCATAGAGAGCCTGCTGTACCCTTACCAATCTCCATACACCAGTATTCAGTTTAGACCCAAATCCTAGCTTAACATTATTTAATACAGTGGTACCTCTGGATGCGAACAGGATCTGTTCCGGAGCCCTGTTCGCATCCTGAAGAGAACTCAACCCACATCTGCGGGTTGCGATTTGCCGCTTCTGCGCATGCGCGTGACGTCATTTAGAGCGTCTGCGCATGCGTGAGCGGTGAAACCCGGAAGTAATACGTTCCGTTACTTCCAGGTTGCCGCAGAGTGCAACCCGAAAACGCTCAACCTGAAGCAACTTTAACCCGAGGTATGACTGTACCACTGCTCGGTAGTTGCTATTTACTTGGGCCTGCTCTCTTGTAACACCTTTTCCAAAGCTACAAACAACAATCCTGATCATATTTACTTTTATCGCTGAAATTAAGAGAGCTTGCTTCCAAGTAACTGTCCTTAGGACTGGGAACTCGGAACCCCCAAGTATATGAAGCAAATTTCATTTTTTCCTTGGGGAAGATGGGGAAAAGCTTTCACCCTAACAAATGGATGTTGTCTTGGAAGTCCTAGTATGTTCAAGCACTTATTCCCAGGTACTTATGCATATTATTCCAGCTTAAAGCTATTACCTCCATTAAGGTTTAGTGCCATTATCATGAAAATAAACAAGGCAAGAAACTTGGCCTTACACTCAGTAAAAATTGAAGAATGGAATTATTATTATTACTATCATAAACATCACTAATAATAACAATAACCTACCCTTCAGCCTTAAGTCCAATGGCAGGTTATAACAACTTAGAATGTAACGTTAGGAACAATTAAAAAACTTATAAAAGAATACAATCACAAAAAGGTGGGTCTTAAAAATATACCTAAAGGTAAAGGTAAAGGTACCCCTGCCCGTACGGGCCAGTCTTGACAGACTCTAGGGTTGTGCGCTCATCTCACTCTATAGGCCGGGAGCCAGCGCTGTCCGCAGACACTTCCGGGTCACGTGGCCAGCGTGACAAGCTGCAACTGGCGAGCCAGCGCAGCACACAGAACGCCATTTACCTTCCCGCTGGTAAGCGGTCCCTATTTATCTACTTGCACCCGGGGGTGCTTTCGAACTGCTAGGTTGGCAGGCGCTGGGGCCGAGCAGCGGGAGCGCACCCCGCCGCGGGGATTCGAACCGCCGACCTGACGATTGGCAAGTCCTAGGCACTGAGGTTTTACCCACAGCGCCACCCGCGTCCCACAAAAAAAAAAACCTATCACATGTCAAAGGCCAAAGAGGTACGTCTTCAGCATTCAGTGAAAACTACATACTGAAGCTGCTGGGTGCACCTCTGTGGGGACAGACTGACAATCAGTGCAGCTCTTTTAAAACAGGGCTTATATGTGATCTAAATGAAACCCCATTGACCTCAACCAGAATCTCTTCCAAATAATCATGAATAAAACTACACCATCTAAGAGGAGCAGACCACAAGCTTGCTTAAGACATAAGAGTCAGGTCTTCATAGTTGCCTGCCACTCCCACGCTATGATCCTGCCTAATCCATGGTTCATTAGGTGGAGGAGGGACTACATATTTATTGGTGCTGTCTCCTATATTAGATTTCAAATACACTTGGCAAAATGTTGGACACCATCGCCTTAATACTACAGGCTGAAGAGTACAGAAAACCCATCAACTGACGTTTCCTGCTGGAAACAGAACATCCTACAGTAGGGGTCAGCAACTGGAGGATCACGGTTAATTTTTCCTCAAATATACTGCCAAAATAGGGACAAAACAAAATAGAAGTGGCATCTGACAACAGCAGGTCACATGCAGTTGGGAGGTGAAGCTGCAGCATCTTTCACTCCCCCTCCCCCCCCCACCAAACCAAGTAATCCTCTTCCAATAAATTGATTTGCAACGCAGGATACTAGTGCAACAAGGCTTGTGGAGGGGTGCGAGACATGACACAAGTGTAAAGAACACCATGTGTGGTGTGGTGAAAGTGGAGAGGGAGCCCTTCTCTCACGTCTCCCTCTGGTTGAGACCATCCACTGGAGCTGAATGTCAGAACAGGCCAAACAAAGAAGAGCTACTTCTTTCACGCAACACCCAAGTCATAGGGAAGTCGCTCCCTAAAGTTGTAGTGAGACCACCATCTTGGGAGGGCTTAGAAAGAGCACAGACTTTCATGCATGGAGGATGAGGCTATCAATAGCTACAGTAGGCTCCTGGATCCTACTCAGGGAGGCAGTATGTCTGAGTTGTGCACTTGGGAATCACAAGTGCAGAGGGTGGATCCTGCTCGCAGGCTTCGCACAGGCAACTTGGCTGTCCACTCTAAGAACAGGATGCTGGGCTAGATGGGCTTTTTTCTGATCCAGCTGCATTCTTCTTCTGTTGCTCTCTTTCAACATGACAGAGTGCTGGGTGAGACACGGGGGCACCCACTTCAGGGTTCGGGGGGGGGGGCTTTTGGCAGATAGATTGCCAGGGCCCTAAGACGTCTGCCCAGGGCAGGCGTCCTCAAACTCAGACCTCCAGATGTTTTGAGACTACAATTCCCATCATTCCTGACCACTGGTCCTGCTAACTAGGGATCAAGGGAGTGATTGAGGTTGAATTCTGACAAGACATAAGTACCGTTCTTGGGGGACAGGGGCGGGCTGGTGTGGGGGACTCTCTGATCCTGAATGGGTAACTGTGCCCCTGAAGGACCAGGTGCGCAGCCTGGGAGTCATTTTGGACTCACAGCTGTCCATGGAGGCACAGGTTAATTCTGTGTCCAGGGCAGCTGTTTACCAGCTCCATCTGGTACGCAGGCTGAGACACTAACTGCCCACAGACTGTCTTGCCAGAGTGGTGCATGCTCGAGTTAGACTACTGCAACGCGCTCTACGTGGGGCTACCTTTGAAGGTGACTCGGAAACTGCAATTAATCCAGAATGCGGCAGCTAGACTGGTGACTGGGAGTGGCCGCCGAGACCATATAACACCGGTCCCAGTACATTTCCGAGCACAATTCAAAGTGTTGGTGCTGACCTTCTTCTAAGCCCTAAATGGCCTTGGCCCTGTATACCTGAAGGAGCATCTTCACCCACATTGTTCAGCCTGGACACTGAGGTCCAGCTCCGAGGGCCTTCTGGCAGTTCCCTCATTGCGAGAAGCCAAGTTACAGGGAAACAGGCAGAGGGCCTTCTCGGTAGTGGCACCCGCCCTGTGGAACGCCCTCCCAGCAGATGTCAAGGCAATACACAACTATTTTACTTTTAAAAGACAACTGTTCAGGGAAGTTTTTAACGTCTGACGCTGTATTGTTTTTAATCATAGAATCATAGAGTTGGAAGAGACCACAAGGGCCATCGAGTCCAACCCCCTGCCAAGCAGGAAAATATTCGCTTGGAAGCCGCCCAGAGTGGCTGGGGAAACCCATCCAGATGAGCGAGGTATAAATAATAAATTATTATAATATTATTATTGTAGGCCAAAAACATCTGGAGGGCCGAGTTTGAGGAAGCGCGGCCCAGGGTCTTAGACTTAAAAGCTGTTCGGGAGAGGCGTTTTCAGAGAGAGGCAGTCCCGTCCCCCCCATACTTCTAATTCCGAGAGGCCGGAGGAAATGCGAGAGCCAAAGCCTACAGGAGCACAGTCGGAGGCAACGCCAAACTGACGAGAGCGAGACCTCCCCTAGCTAAGGCCAGCAGGGGACGGGGAGCTTGGCGCTCCGCCTACGCCAAACACCCACGCACCGAGGCCTAAGGAAAGCTCGCGCCGCTTCCCGCGACAGAGACGGCAAGGCCGGCGAGGCTAGTCACGCAGGCGCCTGCGAACTAGGCCGCAGCGCTTCCCTCCGGCCAAACCCGCTCCGACACCCACCCCCCACTTGGACATTGCTTTCGTTTCGGTCCCCGAGGCCTAAGGCCCAACGGGGCCGACGCAACCATAGCAACCGGAGCCACCGGCGCGAGCCCATTTACCTCCGAAGCCGGCGCGCCCGCCGAAGGCCGCTGAGCTTCCGTAGTTTCAGCTTCGGCGCCTCCTTCCGCCGCTCAGGCCTGACTAGACGATCCCCGGAGCTCATCTATTCACGCAGCCCAGCCGAAGAGCGCCGAGTGCATCGATTAGAAAAGCCACTTTTTCCCTCTTCCTCTCCATCCCCCGCGTCTAGTAGACTAGCTAGCTCGCTATTCGGCGTTCTTCTTCCTCTTTCTTTGCTTTTCCTTATTTAAGCAACATTGCTGACCACATAAACAAATCTAATTAATCGGTCCTCGTAGGGATATTTTTTTCCCCTTTTAAAAAAATAAATAAATAATGACGATGATGCGGGTGCGAGTTGTCATTCGTGCCCTTTCTTTATTCCTTACCTTCTCCCTCCACCCCACACCCGCCTCCTCCCCAGGAAAGAAAGCGGCGTGGGGGGGGGGAGGACCCGGAATAAATCACAGAATTCTGTCTGTATAAGGTGCGCTGTGATTAAAACTGCAGTGATTTATCTGCAAATTGCTTTTTTAAAAAAACACACCACCCTGTAATTGTCCTTCCTTGGAAATGATGGGCTTTCTAAGGTTAGGTGCAAATTAGTTTCCCAGTTGAGACTATTTAAGGGTTGTGATGGTTGCGGGAGGAGGGGAGTTTAGACGCCCCGTTGGAGGAGGATGTAAGAATAAAATTTATCGTTTTTCATTTAAGCTAAGAGTAATTAAAGAAGCTCGCTCTTTCCTGGAATTCATGCAACACTGACATATATATTTTTTTCCCCTCGACTCTCTGAGAAAACCATTTCCTTTCTTTGCTGTAAAGACGAGACGCTTTTGTCTGACAGGGGTAAAAGTAGCCGCTGTTTACTTTGCTCTGGGTGGCTTCTGGGTGGTGGGTCAAGAAGAATAGGCCCCGGTCTTCAAACTGCCCGGTGCGGCAGCGCTACGTTTATTCACAGGGAGCTGAAATGCTTTGCTCAATGGGGCAAAGGAGTTTTGGATTTTTTTAGATGGGAGATCAGAACATAATCTCACAAGGAAACTTTATGCATTCACGCATATGCTTAAATTTCAGGCACCCGGGCTTAAACTTTGTTTCAAAGCAACAAATCCTTTTCCCCCCCCCCAGACTTCAGCTGCGATCCTAAATGTACTTGCTTCTACAGTTCATGCTCGTGGTTCCAAGTGGTGGTTTGGATTATATCAGAGCAAACCCACTGCTTTCGGCAAAAGTAAATGTTGTGTCCGGAATTTCTTACACCTCCTGAGTTTATTTCACGCAAATTTGCTGGCGTTAACAATTCAGCAGTCCAGCTGGTGGGTTGTCGAGACGCTTAACTTGCTTACAGTTATACCAAACTTAAGGTGCAAGCCTATACATGTCTCCTCAGAAGTAAGGGCTATTGAGTTTAATGGAACTTACTCCAAGGTAAGTATGTATAGGATTGCTTGCGCCCTAAATCTAGCTCTGATAATTCTGGCATATATAGGCTATTCTATGCAGACTTTGCGGGGATCATGCTTTCCAGTGGAAAGTATAGTAATCATGCATAGGAGTGAAAAATACCGTGAGTATATATTTAATTTACACGTTTCTGGATTACACAGGGTGATGCCTAATCATGCTTCTCTATCCAAAATCAAATTCCACAGGAAACATCCACTTTACTTGTGTCTTGTCCTTTTTGTATATTATTATTTTTAAAATCTCTGTTTTTTGTGTGTATCGACGATATTGAAAAGTGGAATCCACGTGGGGATGTTAAAAATTTGCATAAAACTGAATTTTGCTATTTAAAAAGGGAGGCCCAGCCAATTAATTATCAGAAATAGATTGGTCTCCGAAAGTTTAGCACTCGATGCCTCCAGTATCGGGAGGATGCTGTAGAAGTTTCATTGAAAAGAGTGGGGATTGTTTTAAAGTGATGTATTATTCACTTGAATGTTGTTAGCCATTTTTTTCATTTTCCAATTCTTTTTCCATTAGAATAATTGTGTGTGCTTCTTTTAGCTTTTCGGCCATAAACAATTCCCTCCTAGGCGATAGAACATAACAGGACACATTTCCGTGGCTTCCCTGCAAGTCGAGCACTTTCTCATGTCGGAGCACCCAGTCTGTATCCTAACAGGCTTAATAGCAACAACCACAAAACAGAGAGTTAAGAAGAGGTTCACGTAATTTTCCTACAAATTATTTAAAAGTTCACCGTTTGCCTGAACTACATGCAAAAGAAATCACATATTTTAAGTACCTTTTGAGAAGCACCCTTTCCCGTAACATATTGGAAAAGGGATTCAGTTTTATTTTATTTTTAATTAACTCATAATCCGGACTTGGAATAGTTTCCAGAACCACTCTGTCCAAGGTGTAAAGTGTGCGCCCGCCCCCCCAGAAAGCGTTAAATTCAAATATCTGGACATAATGAGATTAAAGAAAGGAGAGAACAAACTAGCAATACATATTCCAACGTCGAGTTTAAAAAGACGCTCCCATTTTCCAGGTGAGAAAATGGAAAGAGGCGGTTGTTTTCAAACTACATTTGGACAAGTGCACTCTGCAGCGCGACTGTCAAACTATTTACTAAGAAGGAAGGCCCACTACACCCCCCCAAAAAAAGTCTAAAGTGTGAGCTCAAGCTTTCAAGTCAGTTCTGTTAATTCCGATACCAACTTCTCAAACCTGTTTTGCAATCCTGTCCTTTTACTGAGATCACACAAGCGCCACTGAGTTCAATGGAACTTAACTCCCAAGCGAATGTGCATCGGATTGCAACCTAAGAGTTCGCCAGGTCCTGAAGAAGAAACTGGCCAAATTTTCCCAAATCATTTATGTATCTCAGATCATATACGAATCCATGTATTTTAGTTGTTGTTGTTGTTGTTTGAAGAGCATTGACCCCAGAGAGGAAATTACCCAAAAAACCCAAAAACAACATGAAGAATAGGAACCTAAAGCAAAATGCAGCAACAGCAATCTAATTCACGGCAAAATCACAACAGAAGCTTTAATCTCTCGGCATTTTACAGGAACGGTTTCCCCTCTCTCCATATAACCCGAGCGCATCTCCAGGCTAAACTGATCTGACTGCTGCGTATCTTCCCGGAGCTGTCAGCCTCCCTTCGCATTTCCAAAAGGATGGCTGAATCCACCGCACCAAAACCCCCAATAAAGCAGAAAAGGTCTAGGGAATTTTTACCGGCAAAATTCCCTGAAATGGGGAGCCCCCGGCGCCTTGAGCGCTCCCAGCGTCCCAGGAATTAGCCAGAGACCTAACTTAGTACCATCGCGCAGGCAGGAATGGGAAGGAGACCAATATGTGTGTATATATATATACATCGCACAGCCTTTGGCGGTTTTTTCGGAATTATACTCCGTTTCAAATCAGTGTTAAGTCTAGGATCGACGTGTAGGAAATGCAGACTGAGGGAGTGAGTGACAAGGCATCCAAGGGACAAACACAGGCTGGGGCAATTCTGATGGAGTTCACCTCTCTGCTGCTGTCTCTCCTCCCTCCCCGCAACCCTAAACGAGTCTCAATCGTACAGGGTTTAATTCAGGCTGCGGTTCTGGCTAGAAGCGGTTCTGGCTAGAAGCCCGCTTCGTCCCTGAGCTTCAAGGGCAAGCGCCGTCTTCCTAGGCGGGTTTGGGATTGGGCTGGCAACGTGTGAGCCGAGCAAAGCATTCCGCATTTTTTTATTTTATCTAAAAGGCCCAAGGATCTAGCTGGTTGTTTGGCGGGGGTGGTGCGGAGAGCCGATCAAAGGAGCACTAATCTCTCCTTGGCATCGCGGCTGATTTGGTCCTTCGGCGGGCGAGGAGGCGAGCAAGCCAGCCGGCCAGCCAGCCCCGCGCTCTGGTAAAGAAAACGTTTGGGGGTAGCTCTCTCTCTTTTTCTCCTGCTCTTCTCCCCTCTCCGGAGCCAGCCGCCTTGTCATTTTTTCCTGTAGCCCCTCCCCTGCAGATCCAGCCCCCTTTCTCTCTCCCCCCCCCTCGTGTTTAACTAACTCAGGACACTAGCGCAAGATCCACGCCTAATTAAATTAATTAGGGATTCTTGTCAATCCTGGATTAATGGCCGAGAGCAACCCCTGGCCACTGGATCTGGAAGAGGGGGGTGGGAGGAAGCTGAGGGAGGAGGAGGAGGTCTCTCTTTCTATTTCCCTCCCCCCCCGCTCGCTCTCCCTCCCCCTCCCTCCCCCTCCTTTCCCAGTTTGGCTCTTGTTCTCCTTGGTGGTGGTGCTGGGCTGCTCCAGGAGAAGGGGGTTCCTTCTCAGTTCCAAAGGGGAGGTAATTTGCTCCGAACAAGGGGCAGGCTTCGCAAAGTATAAATAGTGGGGACTTCAAGAGCTCCCAGCCCTATCAGATCTGAACTCTTGGCGGGGAGAATTGTCAAAGATCTTCGCGTTTTCACAAGCCCGCTCCAGTTGCGAGGCATCAGCTCCCCTTTAACTCTCCAGCTCCTCTGCGGCTTCTCTCTCCCCCCCCCCGCACCTTGCCCACACCCTCCCCCCTCCTTTCTCCCACCCCTCCTCCTCCTCTTCTTCTTCCTCCTCCTCCTCCCTAACCCCCTTGATGTGTTTCTTGGGGGGCTTGGAGCAGCTAGAGGAGGCAAGCGAGGGCGAGGAAAAAAGAGCCCAGCGCAGCGCCGGCGATGGAAGAACTTACCGCTTTTGTTTCCAAGTCGTTTGATCAGAAAGTGAAAGAGAAAAAGGAGCTCATCACCTACCGGGAGGTTCTGGAGAGCGGACCCGTCCGGGGAGCCAAGGAGTCCGGAGGATCCAGCGAGCCCGGCCGCGAGGACGGCAGCAGCCCCGCAGCTCGGGGGGCGGCCGGAGCAGGAGGCGGAGGAGGCGGCGGCGGCGCAGGTGGCCGGTCGCCGGTCCGAGAGCTGGACATGGGCGCCGTCGACAGGGCCAGGGACACGGGCACCCCCAAGCTCAGCGAAGGTAACGAGCCCTCCTCTGCCCAGCGGGTCGGGGGGGCGCCTGGCAGGCTGGCTAGAGGCAGGGGACCGCGCGTAAAGAACCAGATGCTGGCAGTACTAGGGGGAGGGGGAGAATCGGGGGAAGGGTGCTTCCTGGGGTGGGCGGGGTGGGGACCA